AGGACTTTTTTCAGTATGAATTGTACCAAAATATAAAGGTACTGAGACACCCTTCAAATGTCCTAACTTTCTTTCTTTCTTCCATCGTGAAATTCTATTTTGGATCATGATTGGCTTACACTCCACCGTACCACACTCTCATTATATACTTTTTTTTCGTTAACTTTCATTAGTTCCCACACTTTGTTAGTTACCATTACACTCTCATCGCACCAATTCCCACCTTCTTCCTTTTTTCTTTTTTCTTTTTTTTTTTCTCTTGGGTTGTCCAAGAACCTAGCTCTAGGTTCTCAGATCGGAGAACCCAGGTCGGGTTCTCCAGAAAAATAAAAAATAAAAATAAAAATAAAAAGAGAAAAAAGGAAGAAGGTGGGAACCTGGGAGAAGGCTGGCAATTGTCTTGCAGATGATTAGAATAAGGATGGAGGTGAGGACGAAAATGGATCTAGTGAGGACGAAAAGGGTTGAGTGAGTCGAGAGATGGCTGAAGAGGTGGTAACGTAGTTAAGTGTAATTAACTGAAAAATAACAAAAATTGACAAAAATTGAATGGTGCAACGGAGTGTGATACGGTGGAGTGTGCATGTATCATTGTCCTTCTAATATATTTCTCCAGTGTTTTTCTTAAGTTAGTACACTAGTACTTAAATTGCTTTAAATTTGTATTGGCTTGTATTTACTTGTATTTTCCATAAATAAAATTATAATATATTAAAATTAGTAATAGAGATGAAGAAAAATTACAACACTTTGATATTAAAATATTAAAAAAAATAAAAAGATTAAAATATATCCTCAATAAATTAAGACAATAAAAAACTCATTATAAATATTTAAACAATTTCACATGAAATTCAAGCAGCATTTGAAATGTCAATAAATCCTGATTTTTAATTGTATCTTAAGACCATATGACTCATGAATATTAGGAGGGAACGAACCGAAATTTTTTGTTAGGCCGACTATTTGAAACGGCTGCATTTCATTATAACAAGTATTTATAGCCAGTACAAACAGTAAACCCTTACCTGTTTTCTCTGTTGGAAATTAAATCCTATTATTTAGCCATTATCTCTATAATTTAGGAAGTTTAAGTTATTTATTTGTTTTAGGTTGTTATCATTTAAATTAGATTAGATAAGATTGGTTAGTTATCTTTTTAGATAATATTATCTTGTAAAGCCTATTTAAAGGCTAGATTATTTTCAGTTTAACGAGAGATTCAATTTTTCATTCCATCTTCTTCTTTTCGGGAATTCTTGATTTTTTACCATTTGGTATCAGAGTCTATTCCCGGAAAATTCCATGGCTTTCGAAAATTATGTCCAGCCCTCAATCCCTCGTTTTGATGGTCATCACTATGACCATTAGAGTATGTTGATGGAGAATTTTCTCCGGTCCAAAGAGTATTGGATTATTGTTGAAGCTGGAGTTCCAGAACCAACGGCTGGTGCAAATGATGCACAAAGGGCACAAATTGAGAAGGAAAAATTGAAGGATCTCAAGGCTAAGAACTATTTGTTCCAAGCCATAGATCGGGCTATCTTGGAAACAATTCTTAACAAGTCTACTTCCAAGAATATTTGGGATTCCATGAAGAAGAAGTACCAGGGGAATGAAAGATCAAAGCGGCAACAACGTCAGGCTTTGCGGGCAGAATTCGAAGTTCTATAGATGCAGATTGGTGAATCTGTAGATGATTATTTTGCAAGGACGATGGCTATTGCAAACAAGATGAGAATCCATGGTGAAAATTTGGAGGATGTTGCTATAGTTGAGAAAATCCTTCGGTCTATGACAACAAAATTCAATTATGTTGTTTGTTCAATTGAGGAGTCAAATGATATTGAGACACTTTCTCTTGATGAGTTGCAGAACTCATTGTTAATTCATGAGCGGAAGATAAATCGCCAAGACAAGCAAGAGCAAGCAATGCAGATTTTGCAGACACAAGCCTTGCAGACCACAGTTAATTCAAGGGCTGTAGGTCGAGGAAAAGAAAACTGGAAAGGCAGACCAAGATCTGGCAGACTGAGATCTAACAAATTGGAGGAAAGTTCAGCCACTGGAATTTAGAAGAGGTGGCAGAATAAAAATTATTAAGCTATAGATAACAGATCCAAATCTACAGGAAAGGAAAATATTAAATGCTTTAGATGTCATAAGTATGGCTATTATCGTTCTGAGTGTCGTGCTAATCTGAATAGAGGAGAAAGTTCCAATTTTGCAGAACAAAATGAGAAGAATGATGATTCCTCTATATTCATGGTCTGTCATTCTAAAGAAGTCAGCAAGAAGAATGTGTGGTATCTGGATACTGGTTGTAGCAACCACATGTGGAGACAAATCTACGTTTGCAAATTTGGATGAGTCTTGTCAAGACAAGGTGAAATTTGGTGATAATTCCACTATTGCAGTCAAGGGAAGGGGACAGGTAACTATTCGTGCCAAAGATAATTCAATTCAGACTATTTCTAATGTTCTGTATGTACCAGATTTGAAGTCAAATCTGCTTAGTCTGGGACAACTTCAGGAAAAAGGATATGAAATCCTTATTAAAGATGGAGTTTGCCAAATTCGTGATTCAAAACTTGGCCCAATTGCAAAGGTCAAGATGACGGGAAATAGGTTGTTTCCATTATACTTGTAGACTACAAATCTATCATGTTTATTTGCCAGATTAAAGGACACAGCTTGGTTATGGCATTGCCGATTTGGACATCTTTATTTTGGTGGGTTGAAAGCTTTGCAGCAGAAGAAGCTGGTAAATGGTCTTCCTCATTTTGATTCTCCTTCAGAAATTTGTGAAATCTACATGGTCAGTAAACAGCACCGTGACAGCTTTCCTAAAGACAGATCTTGGAGAGCAAAGCAGGTGCTAGATCTGGTTCATTCTGATATGTGTGGACCCATAAATCCAACATCCAATGGAGGTAAACAATACTTTATTACCTTTGTTGATGATTACAGTCTCAAAACATGGGTGTATTTTTTGCAGACCAAGTTAGAAGCCTTAGCAGCCTTTAAAAATTTCAAAGTCTTGGCTGAGAATGAGGTTGGCAGATCTATAAAGGTTCTACGTACAGATCGTGGTGGTGAGTTTAATTCAAAGGAATTTGTAGATTTTTGTGAGTCCAATGGCATTAAAAGGCAACTCACAGCAGCCTATACACCTCAATAAAATGGTGTATGTGAGAGGAGGAATCACACAATCATGAATATGGTGTGAAGTTTGATGTCAAAGAGCGGCTTGCTTAAGGAGTTTTGGCCAGAAGCTGTTAATTAGAGTGTTCATATCTTGAACATAAGTCCCACATCTCCACTTCCAGATTTGACGCTAAAAGAGGCTTGGAGTGGACGTAGACCTGCTGTTGATTACTTCAGAATTTTTGGGTGCATAGCATATGCACATGTGCCAGATCAGAAAAAGAGTAAGCTTGATGACAAAGGGGAAAAGTGTATTTTCCTTGGTGTTAGTGATCAGTCCAAAGCTTACAGATTATATAATCCTTTAACCAAGAAGGTCATCATTAGCCGTGATGTAGTGTTTGATGAAGCAAGCACTTGGTCTTGGACAGAAAAATCTGGACAACAGATTCTTACAGATTTTGAAAATGGAGAAGATCTGACTGTGCAGAACTCAGAATGTCAAACTTCAGCAGATCTCAAGGTTTCACGACAGACAGCTGAAGAAAGTCTACCTACAGAAGTAAAGCTCAGTACTGGAGGAAGTCTGCCAACAACACCAGAACTGGAATTTGGAACTAGTTCTAGACCTCAACACAAAAAGAGAAGACTAGCATGGTTGGAAGATTATGAGGTAACAGATCTACCTCAAGATGATGTTCCAATTAATCATTTTGCTTTATTTGTAGATTGTGATCCATTGACATTTGAAGAAGCTGTTAAAGAAGAAAAATGGCAAAATGCCATGGCAGAAGAAATTAGTTCTATTGAAAGGAACCAGACTTGGGAGTTGACAGATCTTCTAGAATGGCACAAAACAATTGGTGTTAAGTGGATCTACAAGACAAAGTTCAAAGAGAATAGGGCGATTGACAAATTCAAAGCTCGCTTGGTGGCAAAAGGTTACAAGCAAGAGTTTGGCATTGATTATCAAGAAGTTTTTGCTCCAGTTGCAAGGATGGATACCATCAGATTGGTGATTGCATTGGCAGCATAGAACTCATGGCCGATCTATCAGCTTGATGTGAAATCTGCCTTCTTGCATGGAAATCTGCAAAAACAGGTATTTATTGATCAACCTCCTAGTTTTGTGAAATCTGGTTTTGAGCATAAGGGTTACAAATTGAAGAAAGCATTATATGGACTAAAACAAGCACCTAGAGCTTGGTATAGTCAAATTGATTCTTATTTTTTAAAGGAAGGTTTTCAAAAGTGCCCTTATGAGCATACACTTTACATCAAATTTGGAGATGTAGGTAAATTGATTATAGCATACTTATATGTTGATGATTTAATTTATACTGGGAATGATTTTGGCATATTGGAAAAGTTCAAGCAATCCATGAAGCTTGAATTTGATATGACAGATCTAGGTTTGTTGCATTATTTTCTTGGTCTGAAAGTAGTACAGTCAGATTCTGGAATTTTTGTTTGTAAAAAAAAATATGTACAAGAAGTTCTGGACAGATTTCAAATGAGAACTGCAATTCTGTCACTACACCAGTTGATAAAGGTGTAAAACTTGTGAAAGATCCAGGAGGCAGATTTGTGGACAGCAAACTGTATAAGCAGATTGTTGGAAGTTTGATGTATCTGACAGCAACAAGACCAAATATAATGCATGGTGTAAGTTTGATTAGCAGATATAAGGAGCATGCAAAGGAGTTGCACTTGCAGACTGCTAAAAGAATTCTCAGGTATTTATGTGGAACTGCAGATTTTGGACTATTCTACAAGAAGGGTGATCAAACAAATCTCGCAGGCTTTACAGATAGTGATTATGCTGGAGATCTGGATGATAGAAAAAGCACTTCTAGGTTTGTTTTTATGTTGGGATCTGGTGAAATTTCATGGTCTTCAAAGAAGCAGCCCATTGTGACTTTGTCCACAACAAAAGCGGAGTATGTGGCAGCAACTTCTTATGCTTGTCAAGCTATTTGGTTGAGAAGAATTATGGAAGAACTTGAGCTGAATCAACATGAGGCCACTTCAATTTATTGTGATAACAGTTCAGCCATCAAACTTTCTAGAAATCTAGTTTTGCATGGGAGAAGCAAGCATCTACATGTGAGGTATCATTTCTTGAGCAACTTGGTAGAAGATGGAACAATTAAGTTGATTTATTGCAGAACAGAAGATCAAGTGGCTGATATATTCACAAAACCCCTCAAAGTAGCAGCTTTTTCAAAACTGAGAGAGTTACTTGGTGTTTGCAACATGCAAAATTCAGTTTGAGGGAGGGTCTGCAAATTTCAGATTGCAGATCTACAGATATGGTATTATCCAAATTTCTTTAAACTAAAGTCTGAAGACTTTCAGTTTAAGGGAGGGATTGTTGGAAATTAGATCCTATTATTTAGCCATTATCTCTATAATTTAGGATGTTTAAGTTATTTATTTGTTTTAGGTTGTTATCATTTAAATTAGATTAGATAAGATTGGTTAGTTATCTTTTTAGATAATATTATCTTATAAAGACTATTTAAAGGCTAGATTATTTTCAGTTTAACGAGAGATTCAGTTTTTCATTCCATCTTCTTCTTCTCGGGAATTCTTGATTTTTAACACTCTCTTGGCCTGAAAGTGAAAATCACAAAGCAAACTTTTCCTCTCAACTTAGCTAGCGGCCTCTTTGGGTGCTTCGAAAAGCCTTTTGAACAAAAGCCTGACATTGAAAACCCCAAGAAGGATAAAATTTTCTTTTTATCAGTAAATAAAGAAAAGAAAATTCAAGATAAATTACTCTAATAGAGTAGTATTTCTTAATGAACTAAGACTTCAATCTCACCAATTCCATTTCTTACTCTCATGGAAAATTAGCTGAATATGGAAGACAACAACCCCATGATGTCTGGAATTCTTTCTAACCTAAGCAGCAAAAAACATCATCATATGACTATTCTTCAACTTCTTGATTCCTTAGGGATCGGCACCCTTCATCCAGTGCTCTTCAAAGTTAGATAGTACATCATACGCAGCTGGACCATTGAAGGAGAGGGCCACCGACTTCAGCGAGTTTGAGCTGTTGGAAAGAAGCTCTACCAGTATTTGAGGTTGATCTTGTGAAAAAGTGGAGCCAAAGAACCCAATTGCAAGTTCAACCAAAGTAGCCTTTTTTCCAGAGACTCTGGTCCGGGCAAAACAAAAGCTCAAGAACAAGCCAAGGAATTTGGTTTTCAAGCAAAAATAAGTCGTGATAAATAACAAGAATCATACCCTTTGAGAAGAGTACATACTCAGGTTCTTGTACAGCTACCTCTCCAATAGCCTTCCAAAACAACTCGATAATAAAACAACCATCAAGTGGCAACATTTTGTCAAAATTTTCTTCGGCAGCATCAATAACTCCCTCTTGAATATCCTGATCTCCCTCGCAAACATCCTCAAGCGCATAACATCGTCTCCCTCATAGCTTTCTCTAGCCTTACTATGTGCCTCGTTGATAGCTTCTTCCAACTCCTTCATCTTTGCCACTGGATTTGGGAAATGAAAAATCAGTCTGTTGGGAATTTTGAGCACCGCAATTCCACACAAACGGAAGCGATAAAGAAATTAAGACAACAATTTAACGTGATTTGACTTGTACAACCTCTTAACAAGTTTACGTCCATGTGAAAGAAAGAAATAAATCAACTATTAAGAAAAAGGGTACAATAATTTAAAAACTCTCTTACTCAAAAAGCTCTCAACACTTTAACTTCAATATATAGAAACTCTCAAATTCTCCCTAATACTCTCCCTTAATCTTCGCAAGAATTATCTCACAATTTTTCTCTTTCTTATCTTACAATTTCTCTCTTTCTTTTCTCTCACAAGAGCATCCACTTACTTAACTCTTCTCTTACTTGCCCTCACTCTTTACATGCATGGGCATTTATAGTGAAAAATCTCAACTACACATGCACCATTTTTTTTTTGCCTCATTACTACCCTTCCATGATTTCTTTGTTTATTAAATGGATCAGCATGCAATCTTGCATGATTTCAACAAAGCAAATGCTAGCCCACAACTAGCTAGGTTGGTGAAGAAATTTCACCACATGGAAAGTCCATGTGTTCACATGGGGTTGGACTTTCTATTAACAATCTTCCCCTCCAACCCCATGGGAGGATAAACCAACCATAACTCCACACACATCAACATTACCGTAATTCAACTCCCCTTGCTCAAGAACACTTCATCATGGTATCTTTTTTTTTTTTTTTAGAGCTTCCTCCTAGTATAGCATAGGACGAAGCTACACTAGGTGCACTGTAGAAATTAATTTTGAACCAAGATATGATCGGAGGGAAAATCACACCTCCTCAAACCATCATCAAACACCACCTTATTGTTGAAACTCACCTTCTTCTTGGTCTTATTAATTTCTCTGCCATCTACCAAGATCCCTTTAGGCTTCCACACCATTTTCCTCATGGTCTTGTTAAGCCCTTTCTCCGGATGTTGCTCAAGCACATAGGTGTTGTGCTTGTTCTTCCTCCCATGCAGAACAAGTCTTCCACCTTTGTAGACCTTGCACCATTCTTGCTTTCCAACATACTTGTACCCTTGTGTTATCAACTCACTCAAAGCAATAATATTGCTTGAACACTTGGGCACATATCTCACATTCGAGAATCTTGACTCTCCCATTGTGAACATTGAGACGAACATCGCCTATACCTTCAATATTCACCTTTTCGCCAGTAGCTACCGTTATTTCGCCAAGCTCCCCCTGAACCAAACTCACAAATTTTGAAGGATTATTGCACACATGTATGGTTACAACAGAGTCCAAAATCCACCTCTGATTGTTTTGCTGCACCTCAAGATCACACTCTTCATAAGCTAATACTTCAACCACATTTTCTTCAACAATATTAGCCTCCCCCTTGCCCTTGGTTTCTTGACTTTTCATCAATATATTCATATTAGAAAAATCCTCCTTAAACTTTAGGCATTTATACTGTTTGTGACCCAACTCACTACAATAGAAACATTGCACTTCACCATAATCCTTCTTAGGTCTAGATTTTGACCTTTCTCGATTTCCTCCACCTCCACGTCCATAGGATCTTCCCCAAGATTGCTCCATCACCAAAGCATTATTTTGATTGGCACAGTCATCTTCCTTGAAAAACTTATCATTCTCCAACAACATAGTTGTGACATCTTTCATCACCAATGTAGTCTTACCCACTAGCATGCTTTGCACTAGGGACTTGTAAGACTTTGGCAAGGATGCAAGTAAAAGCAAAGCTTTCTCCTCTTCTTCTAGAATATCCTCAGCATTCACTACTTGTGTCACCATCATGTTGAAATCAAATAAGTTCTTGTGAATGTTAGTGCCTTCTACCATCTTCAATTGATATAGCTCCATCTTTAAACACAATCGATTGGTTAAAGATTTTGAAGCATATATCTCTTCAAGCTTCCTCCACATGCCTATTGGAGTGGTCTCTAAAAGGACATTATATTTCACCTTCGGTGCAAGTGCTAGCCAAATTTGACTTGCTGCCTTCTTTTGGATAGTATTCCAATTAGTATCTTTCATCTCAACTAGCTTGGTCTCTTCTAAGGCTGCATCAAGTCCTTGACAAGTAAAGACATCCTTCACAGTGCTTTGCCATAAAGCAAAGTCATTCTTGCCATCAAATAACTCAATTGACTACTTCATGGCTTCAGTTTGCATTTCGCCACAACACCAAGAGCTCTACCAATAGCTCTGGTACCACTTGTTGGGAATTTTGAGTACCACAATCCCACGCAAATGGAAGCGATAAAGAAATTGAGACAACAATTTAACATAGTTCGACTTGTATAACCTCTCAACAAGTCTATGTTCACGGGAAAGAGAGAAATAAATCCAATATTAAGAAAAATGGTACAATAATTTAGAAACTCTCTCACTCAAAAAGCTCTCGACACCCTAACTTCAATATATAAAAACTCCCAAATTTTCCCTAATATTCTCCCTTAATCTTCACAAGGATTATCTCACAGAGTCCATCAAGAAATGGCTCTTTGAATTCTTTTACAGTGCTCATTAGTTGTGTTTTATCAAAGTGCCAAGGACCAAATGAAAATCTATAAGGCGTATAAGCCTATTCATTTTTCATTTTGATCATACCCGGAATTTTGAAGATGCAACCCTTGGATATGATAGCATCTTCCTCATCCAAATAATTCACATCTATTGCATGTTCTTCATTACCCATTTGCATGTTTTTGAATTCCTTTCTTATGCTGTTCTTTTTAAAAATATAAGGTTACAAAAATGAATCAGCACTGCATTTGTGTAAAGGCATGTCAATATAGCTAGGACAAGGAAAATTAGACCCCTTTTGGGTGGAAAATAATTTCCTAGAGGTAATTAACATGGCTCGCAAAAAAAATATAATACAAGATTAATTAGAAATAAACATGAAAGTTTTTTTTTCTTCAAAAATACACAAGGCAAACAAAATTTTTATCATCAAATAAATATCTTTCTGAAAAAGCTTTTTTTTTTTTTTCCATTCATGCGTCGTATCATCCATAATTTATTATTTTTACAAAGAAATTATATGCTAAGGATCTAATTCATTTGTGTTTGAGGAAAGTGTACCTTGTGAAGTTGGGAATGAGAATTGAGGAAAAGAAGTTAAAAGCTACCAACTACTACTTTTAGCATGAAACTTGTTACCAGAAGAGAGACAACAGGTGGCCTGGAGGAGAAAGGATTAAACTTGGCTATGATATGCTAAATTTAGAGAGGAAGATCAAATAAGAACACCTCGGTAGCGTGGGGTATACATAATGCTTTGAACTAGGACTAAAGTTGTCAATATCATATCAGTATACGTATCGATTTTGTTACCGAAACGATACATATTAGATATTAGAATTTTTTGTATACCATTTTGGATTTATCGTTATAAATATATATTTTTATAAAAAAGATAAATATTTTGTAACAGATGAAATATTAATTAAATTTTAATATATCTAATTTTTAATTTAGGATATTTAAATTTACTTTTTTTTTAAATACCTTATAATACAATTTTTATGTTTTATATTTATTTTAAAAAGATAATTATAACATATATTAAATAAAAAAATTTATTAAAATAAATATTACATCTTATCAATTAATTAATTTACACATTTTCACACCCAACACACTCTACTCTAACCAATTAACACTTGCCACTACATCAACATAACCCCCCACCACACCAGGTGAATTGGTTCCCCTTCTCCCCAAATATAAAACCCTCCACTCCAAATAAATCCCTTCTGCAATACAATAAGATTTTTCATCCCCTAAACGATTTTCTTTCTGCCTTTGCATTTAGCCTTTTACAGAACACAACCCCTAGCCCACAAATCTGAAATTGCAGGGTTAATCAAGATTCAAGATCTAGCCCCTAGCAAATTTTAAGTAATTTAGCTAGGGTTTTTTTTCTCATGCTCTGCTTAGGATTGAGGGCGGCGGCTACAGGTTTCTCCCAAGGGTTTCTCTCTAGCAAGGAGTTTCTTCCTTCTCTACTATCTTCTTCTCTTCCCTTTCTCCTCTTGATTTCTTCCTTCCTCCTCTTAATGTCTTCCTTCCTCTTAGTCGACTGTCTTGCTTTGGAAACTTCAGCCCAAGGGACCACAAGGCAACGACATCTTTCAATCTACATCTACTGTCAATTTTTGAAGGTTGTGACTAAATATCGAGGGACATGATCTCACTGGTGGGTTTGGTTTTCTCTTATTCACCAAATTAGAATCTCGCTTTGACATACCTTCAATTTCAAATGGGATCCCGGGGGTTGCATTCGAAGAACCTAGTGCACTCCAATTTTCAACAAGGCAACAACATGCTTCGATCTACATCAAAGAACCTAGAGCACTCCAATTTTCGATCTAGTAATCGAATACAAAAAGGACAAGGATGCTGTGGGTGACTTTGGTTCTAGTGATGTTGGTCTTCCAAGGAAGTGTATGTTCTTGCATTGGTTTTGCTTTTGCTAGCCACCTGAACATGAAACAAACTAGGCATTTTCCACTTGGACGAAGCATTGTGGTGTTGGGAGACACCGCATCGCCAAGTCCCCTTATCTCCCATGCTAGGTTTGGATGGTAAAATAGATGTGATTACCAGCAACGACCATAAGCTCTAGTGTAGTCTTTCTATATTTTCACATAGCTCTATTGATGCTCCTATAACATATACTACTATTTAGAGGTTCCTAGTTATTAATTGTTTCTATTTGTATCGAGCACCAAGCTCTTTATATTGGTGTTATAGGTCTTACCTAATTTATTTATTTCTCTTGAATAACCTATATGGCATGGTATACTATGCACTGTAATTGCTTTTCAATTATTAATCCAATTATACCTTTTATCAAAAAAAAAAAAAAAGATCTAGCCCCTAGCCCACGAATTAAGAAGAGAGAGTAACGGCTGGACTGGACCATTGGTGTAATTGGAAACTGCAATAAAAAATTACAGAAATTGTAATTTGAAATTACAACCCCTAGTCCACAACCGCTCTCTAAGTCCAAGATCTAGGGCATGTGGTTCTAAAACAAGAAGGGGAGCAACAATTGCATGCCTATATCACCAGCAAAGAGTGTTGAGGATCGGAGGATGGCAAGGAAGGGTAGTTAAGAAGCCCCTAGCCAAAATGACGTCGTTTTGGGTTAGGAAATCTTTAAAAAAAAAAAAAATTGGGCATAATGTGTGTACCGATCGAAATTTTGATATACCGATCGATACATTAAAATTTTGGTCGATACATTAAATTTTAGTTGAATCATTCAAATTTTAACCAAAATAAAATTTCATCTTATACCGTTTTAATCAACTTAAAAATCGATATGCACTAGCTAATCAATCAATACAAAACGGTATTGATAACTTATATTGGGACTGATGGGGGGATGAAATGGTTTTTTTTTTTTTTAATGAATTTTAGACTTTTATTCCATGTAAAAGGTCTACATATCATGTCAGTCATGTCTTCCGGCTCATCTTGCATAATAGTATCTGATGCTCTTTCTAACCACCATTGATCCTCTTCAGTTTCTTTTTTTTTTAATTAAGTAAATGGGGAGCCGTTGTGATTTTTATTACATATCATGTGAAGCTAGGTGAAGGTGGACTGGCATATGACGTTTCATTAATATACTAGTACATATATATTATATATTTTTTGGTAAATGGTACATGATTTATTTATTAATTTTAACTTATGACCTCACAAATATTAATAAATATTATAATTTAATAATCACAATTCTCTTAAAAATAATAATAATAATAATATTTAAGAGTTTAAAATTTAAATATTGACAATCTTATTTTTCCGATCCCCAATTGGTACAAGTTAAAAAAAAATGACTTGACAAATTGTGCCTTTAAATAAATGCACCAATAATGGCCA